TCTTTGGGTGAGTATTAATGGGAAATATGTGATGTTAGTTGAATAAAAATGAGACTCTAGTGGTAGACAGAGAGAGGTGGAGAAAACTCATAAAATCAGCAGTAAATATCCACCTTTTAATGTTTTTTATTATTATTATTCCTGCAAATGTATCAGATTATGGGGATTTCTGTCCTAAACCTTCTTTAGGTGACCCACAGATTCCGTTGTTAGATTTTGAAAAAAAAAAGAGAATAACAATTTTCTGGTAAAATTGTTCTTTTATTTTAATTGAAGGATATATGTCAAATAAAATTTTGAAATAGATCTAACACTTTTTTTTAATTATGGTTCAATTCTTTTCCTCTGAAATATGGCATTTTAACTGGGGTTCTGTAAATTTTCTATATCCACCGAACATGTTTGACCGAGGCCTTGTGTCTCCTCGTTCAAACTAAAAATATCCTCCAGGCTGGCCAAAGGTTTCAGTCCATGATGGTTTTCCCCTCTTGTTGTTTGCAGGGCGATAGCCTTTCTCGAGGCCTTGGCGTGTATTAAATTCGGGCAGGACTTGTTCTCAAAAACACAAATCCTCTATGTGGTCCTCTGGCTGCTGTGTTTGGTAAGATCAGCATTAAGTCACACAACGTTGCTTAAAAATATGTACTTTAACCACCAATCAAATAACTTGTTGTGATGGATGAATGCCTAATTACTGAATTGTTTGACAGCTTGTGCTATGGTTCTGTTTTCAGGCCTTCATTACATTCCTGTGTCTGTATGGGATGGTGTGGTATGCAGAAACATACGGTCCAAGGGGAAAGGTGTGTTTACTGTGTCAGCAATCAAGAATGTGTGTTTTTGAATACAGTACTTAGAAGCAGGGTGTGTGGCACAGAGAGACAGTGACTTTCAGGTTTCACCCAGCGTTGGCTTCCTGTTAACATACATTTTTGTTATAACTTGACATGAGCTCCATATTATTTTTTTAGTGCATTGAGATGACATTTGTTGTGAATTGATGCTATGTAAATGAACTGAATTGAATTTAACATATAGCTTTTGTTAACACACCAGAGATTATCTTTAATGTGCACTTATCATTTTTAGTGAACTATCGCAGTGAAGAGAAGCTTCTATTTTTTTTTTTTTACATAACTCTGAAAGGTTCTTTTAGTCGGTTCCTTCATATTTTGATTAATGTGGAAATTAATACATGTAATTTAAATGATGTCATGCCATTCTCAACATGATTTACAAAAAAAAAACTCCATAGCTGCTAATCTAGTTGTGTCCATGTCTGAAAATGAGAATAATGTAAAGTAAAAAAAAAAATAGAGAAATTAATCTTTAGGCCAAAAGTAGGAATAGCAAAGTCTTGATCTTGAGTGTGTTTTCATTCTGTGAAGAATTAAATGAGGATTTATCTGGAGCACTTAAAAAGCATCGTCCTTACCAAGAATCTAAGAGTGACAGTCGCTAATAACCCGGATCTTCTTCTGTATTTGAAGCTGAGGTTCTAGATGTTTAATTTCCTGGCGCAAAAATGTCAAATAGAGACAAGTTTCTGGTCGGTGAAGAAAAATGTATCTTCATTTATTTCCTATTGCTGTAACGAAAGAGCAATCACATTTCCATGCCACTTTCTTTTAAAATATCTTGTTCTGAAAACTAAGCAATTCTTGTCTTTGCTGAAAACAATTGGCTCTTGTGTTCTTCTGTTTCATGAACTTTGCCATCAGTCATACGTTTGTTCAGGGCAGTTACTGAGCTCTTATTGTTAGTACAAAACTTTAAGGTTTTGTCTTGTCAAGTCGACTTGGTCTGTTGGAAACATTGTGCAGGATCAGTTGCATGCTGTTGCACATGATGTGTGCTCTGTTACAGGAATGTGTGTAATGTGTCTTTACTTTCCTCTCCTCTTGCAGAGCCTTTCAGAGTGTGAAGACAGTAATTACGCAGAGTCTCCTGACCACATGGCCGGGGATTTTATAGGTACGGAGTCTACTGTTGTCTGTCAGGGACAACATTTAGATTGTTGTTGGGTTTTTTTGTTATGCTCTGCCCCTAGTGTCTGGACAAAAATTCAGGGTTTGTTTACTGTCTTGAAAAGTTGTGAAATCTGCTTTTACCAATTTCTAGGTCTATTTGAGTCAATTTTTACCCAAATTGAGTTTGGGTAAAAAGTGTATTTTACAGACTATCCTCCACTTGTATTATTTGTTTTATCTAAAAATTTAGTTTGAACAGAACCATGACTAAGTTTGGTTAAAAGGCCAAACGAAGCATAAAAGCTGCAATTCTGTTTTCTTTACACAAACATGATAATGGTAGAAGTTTTCACACACTATGCTTTGAAAATTATGTAAGTATAATTACTTTAGCTGGTATGTAAAAAGTCCAGGCATCATATTTTGAGATGGTGCTTTACTCCAGATGCCAGAGCAGCAGGGGAACGAATCGCTGCTTGAAAATCAAGTCAAACTGTTGAACATAGATGAGGCCCACTTACTTAATTACTTAAAAACTGCTAAGTTTTATTTGATTTTTTCTAGTCAAGTGTTCTGAATATTACAAAAACTGTGAAAAAAAATGTGCAGGAACTGCAAATATGCACTTTTTGCTTAAGTTTATTTTAAATGTTTGAACTTCACATTTTAGATGACATGGACTCAAACGGTGAGAGCCCTACGATCAGACGAAGAGGGATAAACAAACCCCTGAACGGCATCGACAGCCAGTAGTAAGCTGAGCCGGGGAGGCCGCTAGACATCCGAGCTCCTTCTGCAGAAGATCCTGAAACTTCACCATCCCACCACCGCCGCCGTCACTTTCTGGAGAGAGGGAGAGCAGACACCAGATAAGAGGAAGTGGAGGAACAGGTGATTGCTGTGTTGTGATGAAAGGTGTAGCGGCTCAAACTACAGAGATGGACGTCGCAGTGTGTGCTCAAGAAACTCCTAAACCACTAATCACAGGTTTCTTTGTGTGTGACTGAGAGCGTGTGAGAGAATAAAAGCGACTAGCTGTGGCTGCATGTCCATTGTAGCTTTTAAGTTACAACATGATATCACTGAAGGCTGGCATTCATCTGGCTGAATGCCAGTAAGTTGGTTCAAAACATCATAATGTTAAAAGCCATTTTAAAGATTTGATCACTTTATTTGAAGCCTGTATGTTGTTTTTTTTTTTTTTTTTTTTTTTATACTTGGATTCTTGACTGATTATCTGTTTACTTCCTAAATATTTGCATTGTTCTCTCTCTTTTTTTTTCTTTTTTTTGTTTAATACTTGAATGTGGGCAGAATTTCCATGCCAGACAGCTTTAGCTTGTCAGCGTGATCAGCTGAGGTTCATTTTGTAAAGAAGCACACAGTTAAAGCACTTTGCAGGAGTTTTTCCCCTGAAAATACTGTACATTTTGTAATGTTCTAGTATTCTATGAACTATTGTGATCCAGAGTGACTTTACTTTCTCCTCTCCGCCTGTGGCTGCTATGTCATTTTAAATCTTTCTATGTTTGAAGGGCAATTATTCAGACCCTTGCATGTCAGTGTGCAGGTGGTTTTCTTTTCCTCGATCCGCTAATTTCTTTTGCATGACTGTCAAATCAAGTGTTTTAATAAGATAATGTTACAACAGTAGGAAAAAAGAAGTCTTTATATTATATTATCTCCACCTGAACACAAGTATTGTCTTTGACTGTCATAACATTTTTATTCACGCCTTGTGCCTGTTTGCATGGAATTATTTCTTATTCCTAACGCTTCTCAGTCTGTATTTAGACTAAGCTCTCTGTTATTGAATACTCTAACCTGGAGTGCTTCGTTGGAGCTTTGTTGTCATTTTGTTCTTTCAGTATCATCTCAGCACTCAGATGTTTCTCGTATCCCCGACAATCCGAATGCTGGCCTCGGTGAAACGCTTTCCCAGGCAACATTAGGCTTTGTAAATGGTACAATGTCTCTGGATATACATTTAATTTTGCCAAAAACATTACTGTTGAAGATGACCTGTGCTGTTTGTTTCACTGTGAAAAAAAAAATTCTACATATTAAAATGTTTTACTTTTTCCTCTTTATTTTCAAATCTCTTGAGTATTGCTTTAATAATCCTCAAGTTTTAAATGAAGAATTAGAAAGGTGTTACGGTCATCTTTAAAGTAGATTTTACTTTTATTTTTATTTTTTAACTTAACACTAGTGGAACTTGAATAATCTTATTCAGGCTCTGAAGGACAGCCCTGCAGGATGTAAGTGCTCCTATCACTTTGAGCTGACTCCAGTTCTGCCCGTCTGGAGTCAGATTTCATTCGGGCTGCACATCTTGAAAGTCATACAGAAATAGCTTCCGAATGCTGACCCATACCAGGATTTACACGGCCTTGGAACATATGTCCTACCCGTTGACCTTTTCCACATCTTATTTTATCCCACAACTACACATTGTAGTATATGTCTTTGGGTTTTAGATATACAAAATCAAATTAATGCATAAATATGCAAGTAATTTGAAATGTTTAGCATACATTTGTATTCAGTTGCCCTGAGGCAAAACTTAATAAAACTACCTTTCCATAATTTCAACTTCAGCTTGTTTTGGATCCATTTCCAGCGGTTTTGCTAAATAGCATATGCAAGCATCAATTTTCTTTTGTATTTTGGTCAGGACTTTGACTGGATCATCCTAACACATCGACATGTGAAGCAAGTCATCCCATTGTAATTTTTCTTAATCTTCTCAGCAAGATGCTGCCACAACTCTGTGTACAGGGGTGAAGGGTAGTGATGTATTTATACAAAAAAAAAATACCATTTTGCATGTAAGATAAATTAATTTTGGTCTTTTCTGATCAGACCACCATTTTCCACGTCTGTTGTGTCATTACTAATTTTAACCAAATCTCTAATTGAATGGATTTCCTGTTTCCACTCTGTTCCCTTAACCTTCTCAGATTTCTTTAATTTTATTATACCTTTTGCTCACTACTGTTCAGCAACACACTTGTGCAAATGCCAATTGCAAATAGCAATTAATGTACAAAATTCATTTTATGAACTGCTATTTCCAAAAGAGGGCGCCAGAGAGCCTCAACTAGATTTAAAACATCACGTGGTGACTGAGGCCTCCAAGCAGAGGACATGTAAACACAGAGCTTCTCCTGTCCATTTTGTTCTCTCCGTCTTTCTTCATCGTGTCGCCTAAAATTCCCAGATTTTCAGCTTTGTTTCGTGAGCCTTATTCAACCTGCACCAGTCAGCTGAGGCGACCAGGACATCAGTGTATTTCAGTCATCATGGACCAGAGTCCTGATCTCCCACATCGTTGCTGCCTGAGTCCAGAGGCGACCCTGAGGGAAATCCAGCTCAACTTACTGGAGTGTAAAGTCTGCTTTGAGATGTTTGACTCGCAACAGAGGGAGCGCAGACCACAGAACCTTTCCTGTGGTCATGTACTCTGTCTGGAATGCATCACAGCTTTGTCCCACCCTCTCCTGAGGAAGCTGGAGTGCCCGTTCTGTCGACAGCTGTGCAGTGTTGACAGCACCTCCCATTGCCAGGTTCTCAGTGACCTGCAGGAGCTCCTTTTGTCCCAGAAATCCTCGTCCTCCGCTCCCCCTCAGAGGCCCAAAGGAGGATTTATCTCGGACACAGCTCTGCATCTTCTTGCTGCGTTTGGGGGCTGGGGGACTCTCATCAACCCCACTGGAATCGCCGTTTTGGGGTCTGTGGGGGGAGTAGTCGTGGTGCATGATGGAGAGAAGAGAGTAGTGATGTTTAACCAACAAGGGAGGAAGTTGCACAGTTTTGGCGAAAAAGGAACAGGCAATGGGGACATCTGTTACCCAGTGGATGTGGCAGTGAGTCCTACTGGTTATGTCATAGTGACAGATGCAGGGGATAAATCTGTGAAAGTTTTCACATCCAGGGGAATACACGTAGTGACGGTCAAAGATTGCTTCCAACTTCCTTGGGGCGTGGACACAGACTTTTGCGGGCACATCCTGGTTTCTGACCTCCAGGCTGGCAATCTGATCAGAATTAAAGTGAACTTTAGTCACGGCATTATCCTGGAGAGTCAAAAAGTCCTAGACAACCTTCGTTGTCCCAAAGCGGTGGCTCACTGCCGAAAAAACGGAAACACAGCAGTGTTGGAGCATCCAAGAGGAAGGCACCACAACAGAAATTTGAAGGTGTTTACAAAAGACTTCCACCTTCTTTACCAGATGGACAGCTTCAGCCTGATCCTCCAATCATCCTTCAGGTTCAACATATCAGATGTGGCTTTCAGCAGTGATGGAGATCTGGTTGTGTCTGACAGTGATCAGGGGTTGATTTGTAGTTTAGGAAACCTTCAGAACCATCCAGTCCTGACTCCTCTTGTCGGGGTCCATCTCATTCGACCTGCCGGGTTGGTAATACTGAATAACACGCTCATCACAGTGGATGGCGGCGACCACACGGTGAAGATTTATTCTAGTAAACCCGGTGCTTGATGCAACACGGTCATTACATAATAAGAAACCAAGACGGGGTAATGGAAAAACAGAATAAAGTTTGTTTGAAGTATTTTGTTGTTTTCATGCTTTCTACTTATAAATATTTCTGTAGATTAACTTGTCTGTTTGAAGGATGCTTATTATCTGCTGGGTGTACGTGATGAGCAGGGTAATCAAGATGCCCTAAGAAGTTGTGATTTATTGTTTTCAAATTTTTTTCCCTACTCTGAACAGATGAGAAGCAGTCCTGTTTGTTTAAGTACATTTTCCTGCTGTAAAGTGAACCTCCACCCTTCTACATGCGTTTCTTCATCTATCCATTAACTTCTGCTGTCTGGTGCCACATCACTAATACTTAATGGCAAAAATAAGAGATGGAACTTTCCCCCTGAGTTTGCTCAGGTGGAATGAGCAAAATCTTCAAAACAGGTTCATCCAACAATGACTATTAAATGGTGGGACGACGACTAAAACCAGCCGAGTCTGATTACTGAGTGTTAAAACAGAGGGAAATAAGAGATCATGACGAGTAAAGCAACAACAATAACAGTAAACACAAAAGTAGGAAACAAAACAACCCTGCCACAAAAGTCCAGAAAAAACAAAAGTAACAAAACGTTGCATTCAAAATCGGCACACAACGTTTAAAAGTCATAGTAATGGAACTGAGGTGCTGATTGTGTCGCAATTTCACTCTATCATCCCATATTTCCGTGTACGTTTTGGTAATTTGTTAGTTTCATAATAAACCAGAAGGTAAACATGATATGTTTTTGCATCTTTATTTTAAAAAAATTAATTTATTTTAAAAAAATTTAAAAATATAAAAACATAAAAACTGAAAAATGTGCCGGTTTTACCTTCTTTCGGTCAAACCCGGATGAGTAGAAATTCAAATTTGATTAGATTTTATTTTCTTCTTTCTATTTTTAATGCTGACAAGGTCACTCACTATCAAAAATAGGGTAAAAAGAATTGGCCCCTTTTTTTCCATATTTCACTCCGGCTATTGTCTTTTGGGTCGGTAGGAGGCGCTGTTTCTACAGAACAAATCAATGGTGTTTCAATATGTAAACGTTTTCGGATGTATTTAAAAAAACAAACAAAAAAAAAAAACAAAGAGAAAAGTTTTTGTCTAGTTTGGATGAAAACAAATACGTATTTGACTTATTGCACTTTGTGCTCAATCATGTGACTTCATTGAATATCATTCTTAATATGAAAAAAAAATCAAAGTTTTACTGTTTGTGAGGACAAAACCAAAAACTGCTCTTTATTTATGTATCTATCTATCTGTCTATTAATATTAAAGTGTCTAATAATTTCTTGCCTTGTTTCTTCACTGGTTTTTGCTGAGAAAACTCAACGACAGCATCAACAGGCTTTTAAATGTGAAAGAGTATTTAATGGGACAGAATAAAACAAACAAACATCTGATAAATTATAATCTTAATAATCTGACCAAGGTTGAGTACGTTATCAACTTACTACCAGAAATGTTATTCCAGTGAGCTTTGGAGTTAGTTTTGCTTCCCAAACCAGTCTCATTTCTTAATTCATGCTTATGTTTGTTGCGCGTTTATCGCTTGTCATTGTGCAGTTTTGTTGTTGTTGTTGTTGTTGTTTTGTTTTTGCCGTTTCCCCGCCGTCGCTTTCTCTCCTCCCTGTTGAGGAGCGGCGCGGTGCGTAAATCCTGTCCCCCTCCTTTGGCGCAGCCTCTCCAGCCCTGCCAGAGGAGCGCAGTCGAGCTCCCGGGTGTGGAAGATGGCGGTGTTAGGGATGCTGTCTGGGGCCGGAGCAGAGGGCTCGATCCGCACGAGAAGAGAACCGGGACGGATTTAAAGGGAGGAAGAAAAAAAAACAATTTAAAAAAATGAACTCGTCCGGATCTATCTTCCCGAGAACCTGGACTCGTTGGGGGCTTTTTGTGGCGAACGGCGTCTGAGGGAAAAGCGGTTCTAGTCTGGCAGAAATCCGAGGCTGCTTGTCGGGGGATTTACAGACTATACGTTGATAGCTCGGCGCACAGACAGACCAGACAGGGAGCAACGAAACACACACGCACAAAAAAAAAAAAAAAAAGAAAAAGAAGTGGACGAAAATGTCGGACACAAAGGTAAAAGTTGCTGTGAGAGTTCGGCCCATGAACCGCAGGGGTAAGTGTTCAAAACGACGATTTCCGCCCGCAGACTCCTCTCTCTTTCTCGCTCGATCTTAAACTTTTGCTTCCCTCGCCATTCTCCCGAGTTATAACCCCGAAGCCATGCCCTGGTGTACTTTCAACACAGCAAAACTAGATCGGATTCTCTTGACTTTTCACATTCTTTTTATTATTTTTTTCCACAAAAAAAACAAGAAAAAAAAACTTCTCTTCTCTTTCTGCAGAGATTGAGCTGAATACAAAATGTGTGGTGGACATGGAGGACAACCAAACAATCCTGCAGCCTCCACCCTCAAACGCGAAAGGAGAGAACAGGTAATCAGAGCTGAAATGCAACACGTAGATGGTTATGAACGCGGCAACGTGCATCGTTTGACTTGTTTGAGATCATCAGAGCTGGAGTCGTGGTCGTGGGTGAAATGTCAGAACAATGTCACAAAGCGATCAGAGAGCAAGTCTGCTGCAAGAAACGAGCAAGCAACGATGCGAGGCTGCAGATGTTTTCTCTCTGGATACAACTACACAGGTTATAGTTTGTCGGGAAACTTTTTTTAGCGTGTTTATGTTGCATAGATGTCAGCAGATAAATGGAGAGTGTTTACAGGGTTACTGCACTGCTGCTTCTGCTGTTGCTGCTGCAGAGGACACAGTGTCTGTCACCCACCTGACTGCAACATGACACATCTCATGTCATTCACTTGAACTTTCCAATACCAATCATTGCACCATAACACCTCTATAATGCCTCTGGTCTCGGAAGATGACCAGAGGCATTATAGACAGATGTGGAACAGGGCGGCAATCGGAAATTGGAGAACCGGAAGGGAGCGAACGTGGAACATTTGACTGAATAGAGCAGGGATCTACAACCTGCCACTTAGTGTCTCTTCTGGGCTTCTTTGTTAAGGGATTCTTAATAGCTTTTGCAAAATGGTGAAAAACGACAATGTTTTCAAACATAAAAATAATAAAGCAGAAAGTTTTAGCAGATTTTATATGTTTTCTTGCAATGCATGGTTGGGAGTTCCACAACAGACCAGTACTTCAGCTGCATCAGATCTTTTTTTTGCTTAGTCGTTTTCATTTATCAATGTGATGCAAACTACGAGCTGTTTTTCTTTATTTTCCATTAATATGAAACCTTCCATTGCGCTATGGCATGTTTTTTTGTTGACTGCTCTTATAGGCTTTCTTAGAAATGAATAAACTGTCTTTCTTAGGTGGAGTGAGAAGGTTTTGTTGCTCTATGCTAATGTTATTTGACAAGAATGAGGGCAAAAATGGTTGCTGTCTCTTGGAACAGATGAAAACTCCATTCAAAATGGTTACCTTGAAGCAAATTATCACTGTGAAATTACAGTTTCCTTATTCAGATAACTTCAGAGGACGGTGATTATTGTCCTCTGAACAATAATCGTACTTGAGCGTTGTGTGTTACCTTATTTTATCAATAAAACCTTCAGAAACACAACAGGATATCACATTTTTCTGATATGCAGCCGCACTGTGATGTGTGGCTGCATGATATCAGAAAAATGTGATATCCTGTTGTGTTTCTGAAGGTTTTATTGATAAAATAAGGCAATACACAACTCTGATGTCTTTTTGCTTTGGGTTAAGTTGAAACATTTACCACAGATGGTTGACATTGTGGAAAGAGGGAAGTATTTCTATCATAGCAACATGGTTTTGTTGAAAAACCGGAATCAGGCTACGGCCGATTCGGCTAAATTTTTATTGCTTGGGAATACAGTTTCCTATTAAGATATAAAACTGGCATAAAGCATGTGACTAGATAATTAACTGATATGTTTACTGCTTTACAAACTGCTTTTTGTTGTATTAAAATTGGGCACAGTGACATTATGGTAATGTTTGATTTTCAATATATTCTGTAGCCATGCATGCCAACAACAACTGTGTATGGTAGTGGCAGAATCATTCTGTGGGCATTTCTTTCTTGTTATACCTGCTACTGACTGTGTGTAGCATTTTGCCAAGAAACCTCTGGTCAAGCCAGGATTGGATCAGCACAGGAACAAACATAGGTCTTGGGTTTGTTCCCAGAAAAAGTCAGGGCTGCCAAAAAAGCTGCTGGTGTCAGATTTATAACTAAATTACTGTAAACTCATCTTGTTCTGCAACATAAAATTGCTGCCTGGGATCTTAAACTGGATGTTGCAGGTGATGTTAAATATAGCACAATTTAAAGAAGTTGACTTTATTTGACACGAGAAGTCCGATTTGTTTCAGATGTTTAATCCCAAACCTCAGGGTGTTGCGATAAATCTCCAAATCCAGGACTAATTTATGGGCTTCCGCACCAAAGCGCCATTAGATTGGATCAGTTTTATCAAGCTCTCAGCATGCCCCATGTTTTATAAAGAGTCGTCTCTGCTGAAAGTGAAGAAAGGGTGAAAGTTTCACATGATCTCTGTGCACAAAGACTCACTGAAAGTGTGCGATCTGCGCTGCCTTCTGATCTGAAATGCTTTCCCGGTGTAATGAGGAGATCAGGCTGCATTTAGGCGAGTGATGAGTGTATGCTCATATTACATGCCTGTTAGCAGTTGTCAAAAATGTCATATTTGCCTCACAATGAAAGCTGTGCCTCAGTCTTGCGCTCGGCTTGCTAGCTCTCCTCTGCTTTCTGTGTCACACATGATTAGACACCTGACCTGATTACCCACAGGCGCACAAAACGTCTAGCAGAATGCTGTAGTTTAGGCATGATTGTTTTCCTGTTTTATTGATCGTTTTAAATGGACAAACAGCTATTTAGGGTGCTCAAATGTTCCCAGAGTGACTGCAGAGAACAAGAATGCGTGTGAGATGTCTAGCTCTTTTCTTATGAGCTAAGGGGAATCTTGTAAACTTGTAACACTTTCTGAGTTCCCTAGTCAGCATTAAATAATGAGCTTACTGTGCCAGTAGCTCTGGTCGTTGCACTAATCTGTATTTAAAGCAATTATCAGAAGCGAGACTGCTACATAATGGCTGCCGTCCAAGCGATCAAGCTCAAAAATCAAGCTCAAAGCGCAGTTCCTTGCAAAAATAATGTAAGCATTTTTAACCCTTTCACTGCGTTACAATCATAAACTAAGATGTAGTTTATTAAAATCCTAACAAAGCATAATTACGCTATAAAACAATTTCTCAATCATCGAGTATCTCTTGGCGCACACGGTGTGTTGGGACTGCTTCAAATCCAGCAAGATAATGGGTGTCCACCTAAACTGATGAGCAGGACCAGGAGAGCATTAATCAGAGAAGCAGCCCAGAGGCCCATGGTAACTTTGAAGGCGATGTACGGGTCAGATGGGAGAGTCTGTTGATTGGAAAACAATTAGTAATGGACCTCCATCAGTCGGGCATTTGTTGAAGAGTGGCAAAAAGGAAAGCCATCAGAAGACCAATCAGCAGTTTGCTTCGGCCATGTAGAAGACTCTGCAAAAAGGTGAAAGGTGCTCCAGTCAGATGAGTCCAAAGTGTCCTTTGTAGTCTCCATTATCAACTCTCTGTGAGGCAGAGAACTAA